TATTAGATGAATTGGTTTTCAATTTGTAATTCGAAAACCAAAGTTATGTTTTTCTTTTTGTTGAAGAATTAGTTTCATTATGTAATTTAGGTTTAATGTTGTCATGATAGTTGGTAAGTTAATGACTTGTCCTAAATATTACTGTGTGAACATAATCATAAAAGTTAACTGTGCTGCTCTGGTTTTATTAGGGTTGGTACCTTGTTAAATGTCTTGCTGACTTTTCACAATTATACTTGTTGCCTTTCAGGTGTGGAAATTTAACTTGGATTTGTTTCTACGTGAATGGTTTATAAGTTGAACATTACAGTTGAGTTAGTTATTCCCTTAGGTAAATTAATTAGTTGATTGGGAGATATGTTGCAAAGATCTTTGAGAATAATAATCACAAAAGATGCTGCCTACTCCTACATTTTTGTGAGTAACTTCTTTTTGACCATTAATCTTTTTGTCTTGATTACTACATGGGTGAATTGTATCTTTTTGGTTTTTGACCTCGCAATCAAAGGACATCAATGCAAATAGCAGAAATTGTTTTATTCTTACAATATTTGTATTTGTAGATACTAAGGATAGTGTTCACTTGCTTAACCCCTATATACAGGCTCTAGAAGGTGTTATCAAGTATACATGGCATGCTCTGCCTGTTGAACAATGGGATGGCATGAAAAACTATATTTCTGAAGTTATAGTTAAGGTATGATCCCCTCCTTTTGGTGGGGAAAATTGAATGATATGCTCTCTCTGTTGTATATTTTCTGACGAGCATGATTTCTGAATTTTTTCCTTTGCTTGATTGACGAGATCTCTTTTCGGCGGGAGAGTCTGGTTTATCTGACCAGCATGTTTGGCTATGATTTGGTGCTGCCAGTGAATACAGGTGCTGAAGGGGTAGAAACAGCGTTGAAGTTGGCGAGGAAATGAGGTTACCTGAAGAAAGGAATTCCTAGAGATGAGGTATCAAACTTTAGTTTTCAGAGCATGATGCTTGGCCAATTAAACTTTAGTTTGTTTCTTTTTCTCTTCAGCATAAACATATGATATGGTATAATACAAAAACTGCTTGGTTTCTGGCCACTAGATTAGATTTGT